TTGAATAACAAAAACAATTGAAAGTCGATATTCAAATGTTTCAAATTAAAAAAAAAAAATCACAGAAACCATTTGAAAAAAGTTTCATTCGAAAACCTCAAACCATGAAGATTCTATGAAAATTCAAAGAACCTATTGCAATAAAACGGCAATTTCATACTTTAACCCCTAATATTTTGAGAAAACAATAAATTCACTTCTCCATACCATACCATTTATAGTATTTTTTCATATTCATTCCGGAAACTTATAGTGCGCCCCGCGTATTTTTACAAATACGTGGGGCGCGCTGTTCTTTTGCTATTCTGTTCTATTGCTTATGCAATAGAACAGAATAGCATTCAATACGCAAACAAAAGAGAACGTCAAAGTGAGTAGCAAAAAGGTCAAAGACCTGGCTAGAAATCACGAGGAATAGAGGATAATAAATTAATTTCTAATTATAGTTGTACTTGTAATGTACCTACTGCACCAGTTGTCACAACAGCGGCAACGATATGAATATGCATAAGTCTAAATGCAAAATAGTTACATATCGTTCTTTCTTTTTAACCGACTTTGAAAAAGGAAAAGGTTCCCAATTCGACCGTATTTTTTTCTTTATGTATGTTATGCGATTTGGCTTTTAATCAGGCATCTATTTCCTTCTGCAACTTGCTGCTATACTAATCCAAATAGTGATATATAGAGAGGTATATCGATAAATCCCGATGTTAGTATTCATATAATTCCAGCACTAAAGTTGCAAAGTAATATACGAGCATTTTGCTCTGCACTAGCTCACAGGATAACCTGAACTAGATTGTCGACTCATTTTACCTCACCTGTTATGAGTAATAACCGGCCAGTAACTTGTCTAGGTTGGCCGTGTTAAAACGCTTTCACAAACATGAAACCTGTGGATTTTGGCGAGATTTTTAGTGCACTAGAGAACAACTGTAACATTATTTGTAAACTTAGTTTAACGCGTAAATGTTTGGAACTTTATGAATTTGAACTTAATTTTTAATTTAACGATTACTTCTCAATTGAGATGTCGACCATTCGAATCGCTGTCGCATGTTACCTATGACTTAAGTTTCTAATACACATAGTAGCGATATTTTAGTTCGTCCAGGGCAGTACTGCCACCTTACCGATTTCTGACGACAAGAAGTAACGTGAGCATTACTGCGTTTCGGTTTTGAAGGGTAAGGCTGCTAACAATTTGACAGCATGTTTGCAGTTAATGTGTGAGGTCGTGTGATGAAATTACAAGCACATGCGGCTTGTCAACTTATGTCTCAGGGTGTCGGGCGCAGTGGCAGTCCCCTCAGATCTTTGCGATTTAAAGCTCTGAGCGGTGATGCAACTGCAGTGTCAGGCGTGTCGCCTACCACATAGATAAAAATCACGAAATTACCTCTAATTTTCACATATTTTCAATTTATCCTCGAAATGCTACAGGTTATTAGGACAAAAATTAGATAATTAATTATATTTATGCATAATCGACAACTGTCCCTACGAACGAATTTGGTACTTTTATTGCGCAAAACTCAACATCTCATGTCGCATGTGACGCAAACTTCAGGCATATATTTGTTTCACAAATTTGGGCGGAGTCAACGTCAAAACTTTTTTGGCATGAGAGCTCTTAATACAAAGATCGAACACTCAGAAAAAATTCCGACAACGGACGTCTTCTAGCAGACCGTGCCATACGCTATACCAACTAAGCCATGGAACGAACCTTTCCGTGTACCTTTGCAGCTACCAGCCATGGCTAGAGATATAGTACATTACAGTCAACAACTTCAGTGTATACATACATACATACACGACAAGAACATTCACAGCAACTACATGTTCCAAACAAAAGACTATCAATAGTGATAGTGTTTTGTTGTAATGTTGAATTTTGTCAAAGAGTATCAGTACCGCAGTACCGTGGACAGACGTGACAGTTTATACCTATTGGGAATGAGCTAGGCAGGCAGATAATATTGAGTGTTTACCAATGATATTTACCCATAGTTGGGGAATTAACGTAACGCCCCTGACAAAGTCGCTATTAGTTGCACAATACATTTTATTTCGCTGCACAGAGGCATTTCACTTTCTACTTTTAGTTATTATAAATAGAAATAAAAGACAGTCGACTTGTAGAAATTATTGACGTTATTTTATGTACTTTTCCTTGAGAAAATAAATTTTTCTTAAACTGTTTAATCATTTTTTTTGATACTAAGTGACAGGACGAACAAGTCGTACACCTGATGGTAAGCGACAGGGCTGTCCATAACAGTTGTAGTGCCACTGCACTGTACACTGTGGCACTGCAACTGTGCCACTCAGAGCTTTAAATCTTAAAGATCTGAGAGGCCTACCACCGCGCCCGTCACCCTGAAACATAAGTTGACAAGTCCAATGTGCCTGTAATTTCACCAGCACCCTTACCCTTCAAAACCGGAACACAGTAATGCTGGCATTACTGCTTGGCAGCAGAAATAGGTAAGGTGGCTGTACTTCCCTGGACGAACTCTTCCACAAGAAGCTCTACTGCTACTAATAATATCCCTACTCTGTTATTGCGTAGTCAGAACACTCTGTAGATTATTAATCTATGATACTGAAGTGAACACAGAGTGCGTATGGAACGCTGCATGTATGTAGTACGACAGTACAGAGATATCGTTGATTACAATATACTTCATTCTACGCAGAAATCTAGGCACCAGCTAGTTATTATAAAGATTATAATATTTAAAAAGATATAGAATCTATGAAACTTAATCAAAAAGCAATAAACGTATTGACAGTACAAGTTAGTGAATTTCTCGTCTATTTATTAGCAGTACGAGACTCCTCTATCACACGGACAGGCAATTTGCTCTCTTTGTTGAACAATCGAGTATGGATGGTGATAAAAAACATTCATTCCTTTCCAGGCTTAATAGAAAATGCGTATCTATCTCTGTGCTTTCGGAAATAAATGAGCTAACAAATTACTTTCATTTAGCAGAGAGCTTAGAATCTTTCGCGAAACGTGTCTCTCGACTGAGACACTTAATCAAATTGAATTTACATTTATGCTTTTTGCGTTGCATCGAATTAAATAGAGATTTAAGAGGTAGATCATGTCATGATAAATAAATAGATTACGCGACCTCTAAAGCCAGGACGTTATGACCAATTTCATTTAAAAGCTTATAAAATTACCGCAAAAATTTTTTTGTTCTCCTGTACTTTAATCAATTATATTTTCACAAAACATATCACAAAAACACTCTTTAGTTGTGAACCAAAATTCTATTGTCTATGTTACTCGCTACCAATCTGAACAATTTTAAAAAAGAACGTCGTATGTTTGCTACAAAATAACGACATTATATTTGTGAAATTATTAAAATTAAAATTATTTTATAAAATAATATCACAAAATGTTACGTAACAGGTACAGGGTCAAGAGCACGTCAAGCTTGACACTTAAGATTTAAATACAATTCTATGCCGCTTACGATAAGAACGGTCCAGAATACAAATTGTCAAGCTTGACGTGCTCTTGACTGTACAAAGGCATTAGTAACTATTTGGCAAAAAAAGACTACTTATAAGCAATAATATAAAATATCAAATATGACGGTAGTCAAACGCTCTACTGCCTCATGATTGGTTAAAATATACGTAGGTACTTGGCCAACCACGGACACTTCTTTTCTAACTAATTTGGTTTTTTGTTTTGTGGCGTTTCTTTGGCTATTGTTTAAGTTTAAATATTATATTTTATATTTAAATTTACTCGTAGAAAAGGTATTGTATGTAAGTATTACATAATTAGGTCTTAAAATCTTGTACCTATTACTTAGGACGTTCGGCAAACTCTCGTGGCCTAAACACGGTACTCGACTTTGCGAACCCTGATTATGCCACAATTGCATAAAATACTATTGCGCCAAATGTTTACAATAATTTACCGAAAGTAAGACAAAAACCTTATACCATATAAAAAAAACATTTAATACACTATGCAGTGTCTGAATTATCAAATGACAAATCCTGAAAATGTTTTGACATTTCTATATTTATTTTGACGTTATTCAGATTACCATTATTAAGGCGGCTAACCACCCACGGCTCGTTTTTAGAGATTGAAAAATAATGAAACATGAAATTTTTAGGATTTTCTTCTTCAAGCCCCTGTAGCTCTACTATCAAGTGTCTTGACACTATATGTAGCACGTACCGACGTAAAGAAAAAACGATATTAAAAACACTCACCCGCTTATTATCTCGAAACTTCAGCCACCCGCTAATCACACTGTTATCCACATCATCCTCTTCCATCTCCCCTCTTCGCATCGGCAGCGGCGACCCTCCCGGACTGTCCACCTCCCGCCTTCTCATCACCGGCGTACATTGCTGAGACAATCTACCCTCGTTGATGACGTCACTACGTCTTCCAAGTACAGGCGTCGCGTGCGCGGAGCCTAAGATCTTTCGAGCTAAGAATGGACTATCCCACATTTTCTTCTTAGTGTTATTACACTCGTGGAGACATAATGCGTCGAAGTTTGCTAGTTCGACGGAAACTCTTGTTTGTAAGCCGCTGGGATGTGTGGTTAGGATTGTCTGTTTTGCGATGCTGCAGTGGTGATGGAGCTCGTCGTGACACTCCATTTTTAGCTAGGGAGGCGCCATCTGAAACAAAAGTAAAAGAAATTTGTAATTAATGAAATAAGGGATTTCACATGGGGTTAAGCAACACGCTTGTCCGTAATAGTCGCTGCCACTCAGAGCTTTAAATCGCAAGGATCTGAGGGGCACTGCCGCTGTGTGCGTTACTCTCAGACATAAGTTGACAAGCCCTATGTACCTGTAATTTCACCAGCACCCTTACCCTTCAAAACCGGAACGCAGTAACCCTCACGTTACTGCTTGGCGGCAGAAATTGGTAAGGTGGCAGTAATTTCCTGAACGAACTTCCACAAGAAGCTCTAAGAAAAAATCTAGGCTGGCTTTAACAGAACGAAAACCTTTTAAGTAAGCTTCAGACGCAGTTAGTTTTAAATTTGAGTTTGTTTTCTTCTATGGTAATAATTGTTTTTTTTTAATTTCATTTATTGCTTTTGCTTTTTCTTTCTCCCGTTTTATATTATGACGTTGCAATAAATGCCTTCTATTTCATTCTATTAAATTTTTTGTTCGCTTTCTACAGTCTAAAATACTATCTTGAAAATAGAACAAAGTCAGTCGACATTGGGTAATAAAATTACGGAGTTGTAATGGCGCAATTATAAGCCTTTATATCGTTCCAAATTGCCTGCGGAGAAGGGTTGTAACTCTGGAATTCAGCGTTTTAATTAAGTATTCAATAGGGTCATAAAAATTAAATGGGTCGTCTGAATAACCTTTTAAAGCTAAGCAATACCGTGCCAATGAATAATAAATAATGATGATTAACGTAACACATAGGAAATTAAACTATCGGGTCAAAATTGCGTATATTTGTTTATTCGGACAGAAACCTTGGGACTAGGGCACGCAAACCGGTTACTCGGTTAACCGAAAAAACCGTCCATTTTGGAAATCGGTTTTTCGGGATTTCCGGTTTTGTCTTATAAGTATGAAAATTTAAATTCGTAACTCATAATATTATTGTATCTTGATTAATAATGATAAATAAGTAAAAAAAAAGTCTAGGAACTCGGGTACCTGACTAATGCGCAGCGACACCATCCGCATGATGGGTGCAGGTAACCTTTGTATGCTAAGTGGTGTGTGCACCATTACTCGTGCACACACCACTCATATGCTCTAAATATTTATTTTAAAATATTAATGTTGATTTATTTTTTACTATAATTCGAGAAGTCATTGAAACTGCGAATTCTATAAATAATAAAAATAATCTACAAAACACTAAATTAATGTTCTTTTTAGTTTTCCGATACTATTAAAAACTTATTAGGAGACCATAGAAAAATGTCCAAAAAAACTTGCAACTGGGTGACCGGAAATTAAAAACAGGAAAACCCGGTTTTCAAAATCATTCGGTTTTTACATGCCCTACATGCAAAGGCCTTGAAACGTTGGTTTCTTTGAAAAAGCAAATATATGATATATAGATCCAACAACCAGTTTAATTTCCCGTGTATTACGTGATACACTTTTTTCGGCAAACTCATTGAACATAATAGTACTTCATTGGACCCCTTTAAGACTTCATTGGGCCCCACTGTTCAATTCATATACAATAGAGACATAATCTGCTTAGCTAACACACAGAACACAAACCCACCATCTGTCAATTCACGTCCATCAGCTCGCTAGCCAGCCAACTACATACGGCAGATCAGCATCAGGAAAGATCACCACGCTTATGTATTTGTCTGTGTTTATTTCAAGATTTTACTTTTAAACAAATAATTTTTGAGATATGGTTGTTTAGATTCCGGTAGTATTATTAGTTAAGATGCTCTTATTGAAGTCTCATTTCGGTGGTAAGGGTTGATGGACCGTGCGAGCCTTAAACAGGCTTTCATTGTAATAATTTTGGAGGGTCACAGATCGCCCATTTATTATACAGTGGCTAAGAAACCAGCGGAACAATAAAGCGACAAGCAAAGCGAAAGCGATGGCAAAAACTGAACTAAGCCAAGCGGAAAAATTAAAGGCTGTATTAATCCATGTTATTACGAGAATCACTAAGAACTCGATAACCAATCATTATTTATTTTCACAAACATATTTGTTTATTTGTTTCCTGCCTACCTTAGCTTTGCAGGATTTAATAAAATACAATTAAGGATTTTAGAAACAAAATTGCTTCTCTTCAATACAACTACGTAACAGTAGGGTACAGAGGGTCGATGTTAACGGTGCGAGATTGTCAGGATCTGCAATTAGCATGGGTGTCCCTCAATGTTCAATTCTAGGCCCATTTTTGTTTTTAGTTTATATTAATGACTTACCTAGCCTTATGGAGGGTATAAAACATGAGATAGTATTGTTTGCTGATGATACTTCCTTATTATTTAAAGTTAAAAGGCACCAATGTTCCTACGACGATGTGAACAATGCTATATCTAAAGTAGTTGATTGGTTTGCTGTTAATAACCTACTTCTTAATGAGAAAAAAACAAATTGTGTGAAATTTACATTACCCAATGTTAGAGAGACGGTTACAAACATGTTAGTTAGAAACGAAAAATTGAATCTTGTGGATACAGTTGTATTTCTAGGTATAACGTTAGATGCTAAATTGCAATGGGGTCCCCATATAAGTAAGTTATCAAAACGGCTCGACTCTGCAGTGTACGCGATTAAAAAAATAAGGAAACTTTCAGACGTCGAAACCGCTAGATTGGTTTACTTCAGCTACTTTCACAGTCTAATGACATACGGCATTTTGCTTTGGGGTAATGCCGCCGATATCAATAGAATCTTTGTCCTGCAGAAACGTGCAGTTAGGGCAATTTACAATCTGGGCCCCAAAGTATCTTTGAGAGATAAGTTTAAGGAATACATAAACATTCTTATACTAGCCTCACAGTACATTTATGAAAATGTAATTTATGTTAAAAGGAATAGTAATTTATTTATGAAAAATAGTGACAGACATAACATTAATACGAGGAATAGAAATAAACTAGCTTTTCTTGATAGTCGTCTTCACAAAGTCAAAAAATCATTTAAGGGGCAATGTATACGCTTCTATAACAAGATTCCGGTTGATATACGAAATTTGCCTTTCACGAGGTTTAAAACTATAGTGAAACAAAAACTTTATACTAAAGGTTATTATACAACTTATGCGTACTTGGATGACAAAAATCCGTGGTAGTAACCCGTTTAGCTCTTGGAGGTAGTCTCGATCTCTGATGTTTCAAATATAAAAAAAAATATTGTAAATGTTATTTACAAAGGGCAACCCCTAGAGTTTCTTGCTCATTCTTCTCAGGCCTTACGAATGAGCGGTAGAGTTTAACCATTGTGACGATTTCAAGTGTAATAATGCTTACCCATGAAATAAAGATTATTTTGAATTTGAATTTGAATTTAACAGTAGAAACAGTATTCTGAAAATGATTACCGAAATGCGGGGGCCTCAAATGAGGTGTCTAATGGATCTTACTAGATCCAAGTATCAAATAATATACTAAACATAGTTTATAAGCATGTTACTAACTATTAAGAGACACCTAAATAACGGGTAAAGTCCGACCATTATAGCACAGTACGGCACTTATTGAGACGAAAAGAACACAAGCGATTATTATCGCTTTTGCATTGGCCTAAATACCTCACTCCTTGCCTTAAGGGGGTGAGATTCTTAATCTCCGAAAATAGTCGAATGAAGGCCGAATAAACGGAATGTTGGCTCACGAATTACACTCTAATGAAGTTCGAAGCCTTATGATGGCATTTATTTTATTGTGCGAAATTACGTCCTGGTTCTCAATGGATTATTTGAATTTTTCACTACTTCATTTTGTTGTTATTATACATTTTTTTAAAGGGTTTGATGTACTATATTTTAATATAAGTCTAGATTATTTCAGATAATCAACATGCTTGAAAAGAAGACTGCGTTAGGTTATTCAGACGTTTGATACAGAAGCATGCAAAGTTTTTTACTACCCCTCAGAGAATATTTTACCGTCGTTCCCCGAAGAAAAAGAGAGGACAAAATAACATCTCGTGTTTCACAAAATAATTATGTATTTTTAAAAACAATGTGACTCCAGAGACGTCATCTCGACGTTTTCAAACCCTCACGAGTAGGGGGATGCAAATGTTTAGATTTTTACATAGCAACATGCATAACTATCTTGCCATAACAATCCACAACCACGACTAATATAATACATCAACAACATTTTCACTTAATTTTAAACAAACGAAATACCTTACATTTGTTTTATGATAGCAAGTGACGGGACGAACAAGTCGTGCGCCTGATAGTAAGCAACACGCCTGTCCATAACAGTTGCAGTGACACTCAGAGCTTTAAATCGCAAAGACCTTAAGGTGCACTGCCACTGCGTCCATCACCCAGAGACATAAAGTGACAAGTCACATGTGCCTGTAATTCCAGCCCCAATTTTCACCACTCATTAAAAAAAATAGTAAAAACAGATAATAATAAAAAATAGCAAAAATTTTACCATCATCTATTTTATCTGACAACTTAGCCACGCAACACGTACTTTTACAAAACGCCTGACTGTTTTATCTGACAAAGCAAACTGTCAATGCCGAGTTTCCTTGTCACAATAATAACCTAATGTTTCTTTCTGTCTGTTGAAAAAACAACCAGGTTTGGCATCGCTTCAATTACGAGAATTATGTGACAGGTCAATTCGATCAAGATAAAATTACGGTAGAGAAATTGTAAAAGCACAAGGTGCTTTCGAGAAAGTCTTTTCGATTAGTAAAGATTAAAGATGTGTTAAAGCTTTAAGATAAGAATTAGTAAAAATAATTGTTCGGGTTTTAACACGGGAGAAAATAAAAATCAGTTTTCGCTGCTAAAACACACCGAAACAATAAAGAACGCCTTACAATTTAGGCAAAGCAAACTGGTCATTAGAATCATAGCTCTTAACGGAATTTAGGCACTATAATTGTTCGTAAATATATTATGTGAACTGTCTTTCAGTATTTTGCATTGGGACAAAATATGGATAA